AAAAAACAAAAACTAAAAATGACCATCTCAGAGTTTTGTGACACAAAGTGCACACAGGAACGCACCTCCAGCTGCTGTCGGAGGCTGAAAGCGTCTCCGGTCAGCATGTCTTTCTCTCGGGCCAGTTTCTCCCTCAGGGTCCTCTCCCTCTGCACCTCCTCCTGTGCCCCACTCAGCTCACTGTCAAACCTGCACACAAACAGACATGCAAAACTTACAGTGCCAAGTTCATTAAAAAATCGGATCATTTCAAATGTGCTGAGCTGCTCACAAAGATCTTACATATCACCTCTGTTGTAACCACAGCATACACATTCAGCAACCCATGTACAGCCTCCCTTGCTAAAACACACACACACACACGTTTTAGCAGCTGAACAAATGAGGTGGAGACTTGTCTGTTCTCTCTGCACAGCATGATGCTATAAACAATCTGAAACACAATATAGTTTCTTCTTTACAGCTATCATTGTTACTACAGCAACACCACTAGACCTGGCAGAATAAGGTAATACAACTGTGTGAAGTCCCCTGCTCAAACAGGACTCTGTGTGTGTGCGCACTGACCTTCTCTGCTTCTTCTCCAGGTCATGGTTGCGGCTCTGTTGGCCCTCCAGGTGAAGTTTGGTGTCCTGCAGTTCAGACGTCAGCCGTTGGGTTTTCTTTTTCAGCTGCTGGATGTTTCGCTGGGACTCCTCGTTATCAGCCTGCAGGTCGCTGATCTGCAAAAACAAACGCATAAAAATGAATCAGGACTGGAGAAGACACGTTTTCAACATGTGGAGAAGCCTGTTGCTGGGAAATGCACAGACATAAACAATGTCTGATGACTCGGAAGCTATAAACTCTGCAGTCACATTAGAACAGTAAGAAAATAGGTTTGAATTATAATTTTTTTTCTCAAAGTATGTTTATCAAGTATCACTCTATTTTGTAAACACATAACAATAACACAGAGATCAGCACAACACTGGCCAATATGATCAACATGAACAACAACAAGAAAATTGTTATTTTAACAATCATTTAAATCACAGTATGATAAGTAGCATGGGATGATGAGGACATTTTATGTCACAATTATTACCACTAGAAATGTGTTGCCTACAAAACTATTGACTTCCTGTGGTACAGTGTGCCTGGCGTATCTCTGTCTCTTGCATGTAGCAGCTTTCTAGCGGTTTTTAGACACACATCAAAGTTTAAATATTTTCAACTTATCAGCATAAGGTGGGGAGTTGCACCACTTGTCAATGTCACACTTGGCCCAGACCTTCCTGTTTTGATGCTGTTTACTATGTCAGTAAATAGGTTAGGTAGATGATGCATCTCTGTGTGATCAGCTCCTTACTAGGTCTGTAATCATGGTTAAACTTGTTTTTGACTTGATGTAGGCTTCAGTTTTGTACTTATGAACTGGTTTGTGAATTTGAAACATTCAAATGTAAGAGAACAAGCAAATAATATTCAGCGTCAATGTCTAATTTGGGTAGAGGCTTATATTGTACCATAGACACCAAATGGATGGAAAATTTGATTCAATGCTTCAATACTTAAACCTACTACAAGGAGTTTTTAAGTGGTTGTGAAACAGTCTGACTTTAATACTGATGCCTCTATATGTGAACAACATAAACAAGACAGCGAGAACATTCGGTCAGATTCTCCTTGAAATCAATTAAGCAAGGTGGCAGAAACACTACCACTTTTGTCCACAGGGGCCGCCACAATCAACACACCTTTTAGAATCACTGAATTATACAATATACAGAAAGTCAAGCTTCATGGTAGCCTTTATATAGAGATGGAACACAAAGTAATAGACTCTTAATGGAAGGTGTGTATCAGTGGTGTCCACTCACCCTCCCTCTCCAGCTGCCCGTTTGTTCTGCTGCTCCACCCTCCAAGTGTCATCGAACTCCTGCTGCATCTCTTCTTGGTGAATTCAATCTCCCTGATGGCTCGTTCATACTTCCAGCCTCCACTCCAACCGGCCTGTCAATTCATCATCACAGTCACAGCTTGCCTTTATCTTAATATATAATCTTGTGGATTTGAAATTGAATTTAGAGTGAACTGAATTGAATTGAGAAACTGAAAGTGAAAGTACATAAAAGTTGGAATTTTTAGTGAGGCTCAAATACCAGTTTCCATTGTCAAGGTGAATTAGAATTCATGAATATTATATTTCAGTTTCAAGTTTATTGGAATCAGTTTTAAAACTAATAATTCAAATTCAGTTTTTTAATGCAATTATTCAAGTTGAGCAATTCAGATTCAGTTCTAAATGATTCAAATTCAGTTTCTACTGGCACAAATATCAGCCCATAATATATCTACTCGGTTTCCTTTGTTTCTATCTGAATATGCGTACACTTGCTGCATATATGTATTCTTCAATAAAGAAATTGTGTCACAAAAACACAGTATTAGTTTGAAATGGAAATTTAAGCTAAACATTATCAGCTTCCGTGTGTCATAAAATATATTTGCAAGGGTTATGATATGATATATGATATGATGATATTATAATTTCATACTAATCTAAATGAATAGTGATCTGGAAGAAAAAAAACACTTTTGGGTGTTTTCAGTTTGCCAGTGTTCAAACATCTAGGAAATAAAAGAACAAATAAATCTTTTATAAGTTTATTTGATAATAAAAGAAGCCTCCTTTTTTCCTGCTCTGCTCCTTTTTTAATCTGCCAACATGCAAACTCTTTCACCTCCTGCATAGATGCTGGTTGTTGTATTGTTGAGATGTTTCGCTCTTCAGTGGTGGGCTGACCAATCAATTTGGTTTTTAGGACATATGAGCGTCCTTAATTGGCCGTGGGAGGTGCTTAAACCAGATGTTGTCTAGACTAACCAGATGTTGTTAATGTAAACATGAAACTTTTTTTGTTATATTTACTGCTTCAGTACTCGTAAACTGACACATATTGACACATTTTACTCACGATACTAGTAAAAAGCTACTGGATTTGTTTCAATCCTAGTGCGTTGCGATTTATTGAAATTCTGCTATGATACAACTAAGTAAAGCTTTTCCAACCTATGCAACATGAATGAAGACACACAGAAAAATCGATTGTACATTCAGAAAGTTTGCATGCCACAGACAGCTGGCAGCCAGCCTGCAGGGCATCTGGAACTGAATCCTTACTTCATTTTTCACTTTACACAGATCCATTTCTAATGTACATCTTCACATCGCACATTCTTGGCTTTTGTCAAAGCATCGATCGGACACCATCCCCACGGTTCCTGCCCCTCCACTAAAGGACTCACACTGGGCCTTTTAGGGAATTACTCCGGTTTTAACGTGTGTGTGGGAGTATGTGTGTGTATAGTTCAGACTGGGAGCGGACAAAAAAACAAAAACACAATTCAGATTGAGACTGATATAGATGTTCACTCAACTTAGTGCTCATTTGATGAGGTTCTGTTTACGGATTGTTGACAGAATCAAGTTTAGTTTCAGTATTATTGTAGAAAGACTGACTGTGACCAATTTTCCTTTTCTTCAACACAATTTTCTGTTTAGAATAGCTTTTAAAAAGTAAATTTTAGTGTAATCTGACCTAATTTGTTATTGTTATTGAGGATTTGTCAGAGAAGCATTAATTCAACTGGTTGTTTTTGAGGCTGTAGTTTTTGGTGTTGTATTTGATTTGGTGATGACAATGATAAATTAGTTGACTGACTGAAAATCAATTAATTGTTCAAAGGGACAGTCCCCCCAGAATAAAAACTAATACTTTTCCTCTTCCCTGTAGGGCTATTTATCCATCTAGATAGTTTTGGTGTGAGTCGCTGAGTTTTGGAGATATCTGCCTTCTCTCAATATAATGGAACCAGGTGGCACTCTTTCCAAAAATCATGACCCAGTTTCATGTAGGAACTATTTTCTTTGCATATCACTGCGCAGATGGACGGAACTCCAAAACTCTAGATGGATAAATAGCACTACAGTTAAGAAGAATAATATGTATTTTTGATTTTGGGGTGAACTGTCCCTTCATGTCATTTAAGCTGAAATACCAAACTTTCTCTGATTTCAATGTCTGCTTTGCTGGTCTGGTTATATCTCTTTTATATCATAGTAAATGTGCTGTATAGTTTTGTACCATTGGTCAGACAAAACAAGTCATCACGTCAGGTTCTTAAGAATTGGTCTTGAGAACTCTCTCAGTGTGAACACATGTTGGAATAAAACAAAGTCCCACATAATATGTGCAAGCACTCGATCCTGGTAGTGCTGCTTTGTAAGATGAACGGGATCCTTCTTAATCATTCGTCTCATCGTGTGCATCATTTTGGTCTTTTGATCCGGACCGTGGCACCTTTCTCACCTACAATTTTGGTCGGCCAAACTGAAGTCGAAGTCAGACCAAAATGAGGTATGGTGAAAACGCCCTAAGATAAGATTTTCCCAATTTGGTATTAAAGAAGCAAATCCTAACTAACTTTAGGAATTCTATCTTATCTGATGTCATCCTATCTTAGCTCAGTTTAGGAAATGCTAAATACTAAAACCAACAGAACTTTTCTCGATCTCGCAAGATAAAAACTTGTGACCGTTTGTTTTTTCTTGAAACATACAAAAAAATGAGCAAAAACGGATGAGGCATTAAGAGAGAACTTAAATTTCATGGACCTGTGGAGCCCGCCATGCCTGCTAGTGGTGCACGATGTAGAAATGTGGCCATATACCGATATTACGATGTCGATATCTCTGTATGAAAAACATTTTTATTATAATCAAAAGCTATTTTCCAAAACGCATTTATTTTTTTACTTTGTGTCTTATTTCAGAAAATGCTATATTCACCTTTACCTGGTGTCAAATATTGACTGTCATCAGTTTTCAGAAAAAAATAATATTTATATTAAAAACATTTTTTTATAAGGATACAAGTGGGTCCTGAATTCACACTATGAATTAGCAACCTGAGTATTCTCAATAACATTAACTCACTTGACATCAAGTCACTGTATTCGTACTTGTATAACAGTTCAAAACTTTAAAGTACAGTATAGGCTTAAATGGCCAAACCAAAAGTACTGAAAAAGGTTAAAAGTGGAAATGAGCCAGAACACACTGGACTGAACAGACACTGCTAGTTCCCGCCCTCAGCACGAGACTGAAAGATAAATCTAACACACAAGAAGCGGACTTAAGCAGAACAGCCAATCATTCACTCACAATCAAAGCCGTGTCATGTTTGAGAGGGAGGGGAAAGAGCAGCGCACGAGCGCAGACACAGAGCACCAGAGAAACGGGCGACTGTAGCGTTGTGAAAAACTGGCGGAAAGTGTGTGTGGAACCCTCTCATCCCCACGGGTGCGACGGGGAGACAAATTGGTTATGACGATTTGACACGAACTCCCCCTCGACCCACCGGGCCCTCACATCATTACATACACATAGCGAGATCCTCTCAGACACTTTGAAGAGACTGACGTAACGAATTGCGCCCTCACCAAAGCAAAGTCAAACTGACTTTTGATTTTTTCCGCCTCAGCACCTGATCTGCACATTTGTGCCGGTTAAATTTATGCGCTGTGCCAGAACAAACAATCCGCCCCCACTCACATCGTAAAGCTAAACCACACTCAAATACACAGGATGATGTCGCCGTTCACATCGCCCTCATTTGACACGATACCGAATGCTGTAAAGAAATGAAGATATCCGCGCCAGTTATCGTGC